CCGCACGCTGCTTGCTGATTGGCTGGCTTACCAATCGCCCCGACTCTGAGAGGCAGTGTGGGGGATTTCGCACACGCCTTTCTCCGAAGGCGTGTGAGAAAGCCCCCTCCCATTACCCGAACATGTGAAGGAAGGAAGCTGCAGACTCATTTGCCTTCGGCCACGCGACCTCCTTTCGTTCTCTGCTGCACAAAAGAGTGAAGTAGGCAGATAGAGAACAAAAGGAGGCCGCGTAGCCGAGGCAAAGGAGCCTGCAGCTTCCTTCCTTCACACGTTCGGGTAATGGGAGGGGGCTTTCTCACACGCCTTCGGAGAAAGAAGGCGTGCGAAATCCCCCACACTGCCTCTCAAGAGTCGGGGCGATTGGTAAGCCAGCCAATCAGCAAGCAGCGTGCGGGGCGAGCGAGCCAGGGGGGGCAGCCGGGAGGGAGCGTTCTGGTACTGTGCCACTGGACGAACGGGTTCCAAAAGGTACACTAAATTTCACGAACGGGTTCTAGCGTACTGGTGCAAACCGACTGAAACCCACCCCTGGTAAGCGTGCACATGTGACCGAGGCGGGCTCTTACCCTTTTACCTACTGAAGCCAAAGTACATAAAATTGAGCTTGGAAAAAGTTGGAATCCCTTTGGGCCACTGATCCCAACTTTAATTTTTGCAGTCCCTTCTTCCAGGTAGAAAGCACGTTGTACTCTCCGAGTTAACTGCTCCCTGGCCAGATTCCGTCTTAAAACAGAATACAAAGCTGCAGCCTTCTAACGCTTCTAATGTAGTAACCCAATACTAATAAGTTGGTCAGCGCTTTGAGGATAATGGTTAAAGATGCTTGTAAGAAATAGTTTACACAGTTAATGAATTAATAAGGATTAACCTGTTGAAAACCATACTTTCTGTGGCAGAAGGTAATAAGCTCTGGATCATCCCAATTAAAAAATTGCTAGGCTTTTTGAGAGACTAGATGGGTCCTTGAATACCTGATCCTTCACTGAACGCCCAAAGGCCTCAGGATGTCACAAGAGCTTAAGCCTTCTTAATTATGAGCAATGAGCTTTAGGGAAGTTGCTTTGATTAAGAATGAACAAATGGAAAGTGCCTTTCTTGCCACAAGTTGTCTTAATGGTTTCCACCTTATTTATTTTAATTAGCACAGGAGCCTCATTCTGGAAATGAAGTTGATCTATAAGCTCAGCCTCCGAAACTTTCGTTGCAAGGTAGTTTTCTTCAGTACAAGGCAGGGGTGGGATTCAGCCGGTTCGCAGTGGTTCGGGCAAACTGATTGTTAATTTTGCATCTGGTTTGCTAAACTGGTTGTTGCAAGGACTGGTTGCCCCTTCCCTCCCAGGAGTCTCCACACGCCCCATTCATCATGCAGGTAAGTGCAGGACCTGTGGGGAAGGCGAAAAACAGGCCTCCAGGAAGTCTGGAAACGGGCCAGTTTCCGGCCTCTGGAGCCCAGGGCCATTTTCACCATCCTGCAGGACTCAGGGAAAGCCTCCAGAGCCTGGGGAGGGCGAAAAACGGCCCTACCGGAATTCTGAAAATAGGTCCTTTTCCAGCCTCCGAATGGCCTCTGCAGTCTGGGGGAGGCAGTTTTCGCCCTCCTGGAGGCTCGGGAGGCTTTTCCCCAAGCCCTCCAGGAGGGTGAAAACAGCCTACCGTAAGTCTAAAAATGGGCCTGTTTCTGGCCTCCAGAGCCCAGTGGAGGCCGTTTTTGCCCACCTGGAGGCTTGAGGAAAGCCTCCAAACATGGAGAGGGCAAAATCGCCCCCCAGCCATGGTGCAGGAAGCTGAGTAGGCCACACCCACCATGGCCATGCCCGCCCAGCAACCGTGCAGAGAACTGGTTGCTAACATTTTTCAATCCTACCCGATACAAGGTAATTCTCAACTTATGACAATATAGGCCAACATTGCTGTTGCTAAGTGAAACTAAGTTAATTTTGCCCCATTTTGACCTTTCTTGCCATAGTTAAGCGAAACACTGCAGCTATTAAAAGTCAGTACAGCTATTAAGTGACTTTGGTTTCCCCGTTGAGTTGGCTTATCAGGTCGAAAAAGGATCACATGATCCCGGGAAAATTGCAATCGCATCATAAATATGAACCGCTCGCCAAGCATCTGACTTTCAATCATGTGACCACGGATGCTGCAGTGATTGTCAAGTGTGAAAAAACGTTTCTGCAAAAAGTGATCTAGCAATGACAATGATGCCACACCAATCACAAATTTATCTTTTTATTGATACCAGTAAGAACTTTCTATTCATTTATTGGTTTTTCATGCTTTTGGCATGAAAAACTAACACACTCTAACATCAGATTAAACGGCAAGGTTCCATCTTTATTCGGTATCTAAACTGCACTTTTTAGCTTTTCTCTTGTGAACTGCAGTAGAAATCAGCAGTAGGCGCCGCGGTGGCACAGTGGTTAGAGTGCAGTACTGCAGGCTACTTCTGCTGCCTGCCAGTTGCCAGCAGTTTGGCAGATCGAATCTCACCAGGCTCAAGTTTGACTCAGTTTTCCATCCTCCCGAGGTGGGTAAAATAAGGGCCCAGATTGTTGAGGACAATATGCTGACTCTGTAAACCACTTAGAGAGGACTGTAAAGCACTGTGAAGCAGTATATGTCTTAAGTGCTGGATGAGGAGGGAAGAATATTAATGATTGAGATTAAAACAGAGCAAAAACAAATACTCCTCACTATAATTTATGCATCAAATAACAATCAAACTGAATTTTATAGAAAAGCATATAACAAAATAATGGAATTAGAATACAAAAATGTATATTTGATTGGAGATTTCAGTGCAATAGTGGACATCAAAAAAGATTATAAAAGTAACAAGAACAACAAGATAAGGAAGAGAATACGGCCAGACTCTTTGAAATGACGCAAGAACTGAGTTTACAAGATGCGTGGAGAGAAACAAAATAGAAGACAGAACCAATATACATTCTATTCAAATCCACATAAATCCTGGTCTAGGATCGATATGGCATGGATGACCCCAGGGCTGGTAAAAGAAATTGAAGAGACAGAAATAATGACTAATACCTGGGCAGATCACATTTAAAGTAATATGGAAAGAAAGAAAGAAAAAATGGGAGATGGACGATGAACAAGGAAATACTGAAAGAAAAAGAATATACACAGATGATTGAAAAGGAGATGAAAGTATTTTTTTAAAATAAATACAAAGGAAGATACATCTGCTACAATATTTGTGGGATACCACCAAAGTGTAGGACTTACTATAGCTTCCATGATAAGAAGAAAGAATAGGAAACAAAAACAAGAGCGGTTGCAGGAAGAAATCAAAAGATTAGAACTAGATTTACAGTCCATGCCTCAAAATAACAAGATAAAAGAAAAAAAATAGATCTAATAAGACATAAATTGAATCTGACCATACAAGATGAAATCGCACAAAAAGTTACAACGGCAAAGCAAAATTTCTTTGAACACGCATGTTTTTCAGCGGCATCTGTCTTGCTGATCTCAAAATGAAGATAGATTTATATGCTTCCATGTGGCTAACCATTTTCATTCTTCTATCGTACTTCGTTGAGGCATCGTGATCATTAGACCCTCGCTGCCTTGTGGGCAAATATACTCACTGGTGTATTCGGAAGTAGCTTGAAAAATGTATTCAACCGGCACCTTTATTACCTGTTTTCTAAATCATCTCATCCAAATATGTAAAATTAATACGTTTTATCTTGGAGGTTGATAATTTCCCACAATTTATAGACCAGTGATACTGAAAAAGCCACCAACAAGATCCCACACAAATCCTTTCTTGGCTTATACACAAAAGACACAACCAACTCCAAAGCAGGTTTTATCAGCAGGTCTTTATTGTAATATAGGCTTGAAGCATTCATTACAAGGTAGAAGGGAAGCACAGTTAACAGCTATTTTTTTATTTTTAGCAGTTCGGAAGGAAAACACTGCATGGGGAATAGAGAGGTCAACTCTCGGTACAAACTAGCAAACTAAACCACAAGAACTTACCATTAGAAACATTTTACATTGTGACGCTGCTGTTACAATAGGCAAGGAACACAAAAAAAGATAAAAAGGAAAAGAAATCTCAAAAAACAAACCAACAGAACTATCCAAAGTGTTGTTGTTGTTGTTGTTTTGCCACATGTTAACATCGAATTTTGGCAATATCATTATTTTTAACCAAGATTGAATTCTGGTGTTGAAAAGGAAAGAGGCTGCACTCTCAAATACAGCGTCATCCAAAATGTTTCCTTAAAACGTGCTTTTTCTGAAAAAATATCTCCCGCGTGAGCTTCGCTGAAAGCGACGGGGCTGGGTATGCAAGGGTTAACAGAATCACCTTTCTTTAAAAAAGGAAAAAAAGCTTAGAAAAATCAGCTTGTCAGCCTGCACCCTTTTTTTTTGTCCATTTTTCTTTTCTCTCTCAAGTGGGTAAGAAAAATGAAATCTCGGAGCATCATTTGCAAAGAGCATCTGCTCGTTTTTCAGGACAAGCGGGCTGGTTTGACAGCACTGTTTTATTTTATTTTATTTTTATTTTTCCGAAGGAAGAAAAAGCTTATTATTTTTTGGATCATGCCTTTTTTTTTTTCGTTTTTGCACTTTTCGCTTCCGATGCCATAATGAAAAAGTGTTAAGCAACCACAGCTGTGTAAATGTATACAGAACACAGTGACTATAAACAGGTTTACGATACAACTCACATCCAATGCAGTTATGTATTTTAAAGCATAAGAAGTTGTTTACGTAGGCAAGATGGCAGCCAATACGAATCTCCCAAGTGTCCAGTGGTGGAAGAGATTGTGTGTGTTTTGCGTGCACTCACAACCCAGCTCCTTCCACGATGAGTGGGGGCGCATCGCTGCGGCCACAAACACATCCCTCTGAAGTCAAGAATTCTGCTAGCATCGCCCATGTAGAAATAAGGCAGACGGTATCCAGTTGGACTGCAGAATGCTTTTTTNATTTTTCTTTTCTCTCTCAAGTGGGTAAGAAAAATGAAATCTCGGAGCATCATTTGCAAAGAGCATCTGCTCGTTTTTCAGGACAAGCGGGCTGGTTTGACAGCACTGTTTTATTTTATTTTATTTTTATTTTTCCGAAGGAAGAAAAAGCTTATTATTTTTTGGATCATGCCTTTTTTTTTTTCGTTTTTGCACTTTTCGCTTCCGATGCCATAATGAAAAAGTGTTAAGCAACCACAGCTGTGTAAATGTATACAGAACACAGTGACTATAAACAGGTTTACGATACAACTCACATCCAATGCAGTTATGTATTTTAAAGCATAAGAAGTTGTTTACGTAGGCAAGATGGCAGCCAATACGAATCTCCCGAGTGTCCAGTGGTGGAAGAGATTGTGTGTGTTTTGCGTGCACTCACAACCCAGCTCCTTCCACGATGAGTGGGGGCGCATCGCTGCGGCCACAAACACATCCCTCTGAAGTCAAGAATTCTGCTAGCATCGCCCATGTAGAAATAAGGCAGACGGTATCCAGTTGGACTGCAGAATGCTTTTTTTAAAAAAATGAAAAAACAGAAAGCCACAAAACTGAAAACACTGGGAGGGAGGGAAGGGGGGGGTGCCTGAGTTATGCACATTTCTACTGACCCCATGAAACGGAAAATACCACGGCAATGTTCATATTAAGAAAAGGAAATCTTATAAATTTATCAGCGGTGCTCCCCCCCCTCCCCAATAATTGAGTGGAATAAAAAGGAAATCAGTTGTGAATGTCCCTCCCGCTATAATAAATAAAACCTAGAATGTTCCCGTCCCTTCCCGATCCCCAGATTTTGTACCCAAACTGCTGTTTTGGAAAAACACCCCCCCTCCTCCACTTAAAAGTAACATTTGCAGTTTTACTGGAGTTCCCAGTTACTTGCCCGTTCATCTATGAGTTGTTTTGTCAAAAGTCCTTGGGGAAAAGGTTTTTTCCATTTATTTGGCTACCCAGCCTGCTGGGCACAGCCAGTAAAAGGTATAAAGTTATAATTCAGAGCTCCCTGGTTTTCTTTTAATTTTTTTTTTTGCTCTTTATTATTATTTTTTCTAACCAAGTAGACACCCTCCTGCCTTCACCGTGTCTTGCTTTATATGTTGTGTTCTTTTTACTTCTTTCAAGGAACAACAAAGTGAAGAGAGGAATATGTAAAATTTAAGCCTGTTGCCAGGATGGTACAAAACAGATTAACGAGGTTTTACGATGACCGGAAATGAAAGCATACCGCATATTGGTTTTACAGAGGCAAGAAATCTTAACATGGTCCTTTTTTGCAAGGCCAACATAGGAAAAAATAGCTAGCAGGGAGTATCCAGAAGTCTTTTGAAAAACCTTACTTAAAATGAACACTGTTAATTCATTATGGCTTATTTGGATGCATTTACAATGAAACTACCTGCTAGGCTACATTTTTGTGCAAGAAATTAAACTCCTCCCTTCCTAATCCCTAAAAATTAACCAAATACAGCCGTTCTCTCTCTCTCTCTCTCTCTTTTCTTGTTATATATATATTGCTTTAATCAGCTTCCGTTTCCTGCTTTTGGGGCAGGAGAACAGCCCGCTGTTATTTCAGTTAAGGAGGTGTGTTCTTGCTAGGAACTTTGTACAAGAAAACAAACACCGGTTTGAGACTCCCACTATGACTTGACAAGGTGCTCTACGAAAACCGCCCAAGAGGGAGAACTGCATTACCACCGGCCAACACCCCCCTCCCCCCGCCCCCACTTGCCCTTGCTAAAATTTTAACTACTTGACATTTCTTATAACCATCCTTTTGTGAATGAATACACTTTACAAAGAGTTATTAAAAGGTTAAATGGGATTTTGGCACCTTAGGGGATGGGGGGGTGGGGGAGGAGGAACTGAGAGAATTAGAAAATGTGCAGGGGAAAATATAATCAGCCAGCTTTACAAAGAAAAATAATAATAATAATAATCAATAGTCAGGAAGATGTTCCTTTAAGCATTTCAACCTGGCCAATTCTAACCTCCCCTCCCATTTTTAGAGACCACTGCCAGCTGTCTCTCCTAGAAAAATCTTGATTGTACAATAATGGACCAAGACACAAAGATGATAGCATCAGGTAAGGTCCGTCTCTTTTTTCACTCAACTTGGGCAGTGATTCAGCATCTAGGAAATACGGGGTGCTGAGCGATCGTTCGTGGTGGTCTTCCTCAGCTTAACGCCCCTGCGGATAGCATTCAGCATGTCTTCTCCCTGCGGGGCCTCCGCCGGGTTCTGCCCGCCTGTATGGGGCACAGTGGGTTGGCATGGGGGAGCAGTGATGCTGACGTCTTCTCTTTCATTCTCCTCTCCCTCGTTTTCAGCCGCCAACGGTCTCTGATCCTCTATGCTGCTCGGTTTCTGACCGACGGGGGGAAGGCTGGCTGTTGCTTGCCCACTCCACGAGGAGGTACATACAGTAGGGGTGCTGCCCCCTCCAGCCTCGGGACTTTGCTCGGAGCTTTCTTCTGCCCCACTCGGGAAACCAGGGAGCCCCGCCGGCACGTCTGGCACAGATGGAGTCTTAACGGGAATCACGGGGGTCTTAATGGGAATTGGTCCCGCGCCAATGGTCCCGCGCCTTACCGCTGGTTTGGTGGAAGGCGTCCGCCGGATGGTGGCCACACCCGGTGTGACGATCACAGGGCCAAGGGTGGTCGGGAGGCCCGCCGTGGAAGCAGGACGCTTGGCATGGAACATGCGACGGTAAGACTGGCTGATGTCGCTGTTCCTTGGAATAGTTGAAGACTTGTCGAATTCTTGCTGCTCGGTGTCTTGATCGCCACTCACCGAAAAGTAGTCGTAATCTGAAACTAGGACGGCAAAAAAAAGAGGAGTCAGGACAGCAAATCTTCAGGAGTAACTTGGCAATCTGCAGTGATACACTTCCCTTATTTTTTTCTTGGATATGAAGTCGATTAAAAATTTTAAAAAGGAAGATTAAAAACTGGTATAAAGTAAGCAGGATCAAAGGAAAATAAATCAAAGGGAAAGATTAAAAGTACAAGAAAGTAAAAAATAAAAGATAAAGAAGGGACGAAGAAGTAGATTTTGATTTTCTTTACAGCAGTTATTATTATACATATGAATCAGTTGCGAAAGGCAACCACCAGACCATGGGGTTGCTGCAACAGCCATAAGTGTGAAAAACGGTCATAAGTCACCTTTTTTCAGTGCCGTAACTTTGAACAGTCCCTAAGTGAACTGTTGTAAATTGAGGACTACTGGTAGTCCTGGTCTTCTTGTAGTCCTCCTCAAAGGGCTGACACAAGTGGTTCTTGACTCTTAGGTAGTTTTTGTGTTTGTGGATGGCCAACACTTTGCTTTTCCCTTTCTATGTCAGTTCCAGGAGAACCTTTACACCAGTGTTTCTCAACCTTGGCGACTTTAAGTCCTGTGGACTTCAACTCCCAGAATCCCCCAGCCAGCTGTGCTGGCTGGGGGATTCTGGGAGTTGAAGTCCACAGGACTTAAAGTCGCCAAAGTTGAGAAACACTGGCATAGATTAAGCAGCTCAGTATCAAGATTTGACTGATTGTCCTCCAGTCTCTAAAAAGTTGCCTGATTATTAGGGAGAATGGTTTTAGCTCTTTTTTTTTCTTCCTGAAAGTGACATCAGTCCACCAATTTTTCTTTAAAATTCCCCATATTAAAATGGCACTGAAGCAGAATGGAGCAGATAGGGCATTGCAATATATGTTAATAAACTTTGGGGCTGCTTCGTATTCTGGATGAAACCGCCTGTCTATGCATGGGGAGAAAACCACAGATTGGGCCTCCTTCAGATGCTGTCAGCTGGCAACGCCCCGGAGGAGGGCCTTCTCTGTGGCTGCTCCGACTCTTTGGAATCAG